GGAATCATTTGTTTGACAGCCTCATGATTGAGGGTATTTTTTTTCATATTTTTCTCTGTGTGTGTGCAAATTTGGCTGATTTTTTTTAATTCACTTTGCTCTTTTAGGTATTCATCAGGACGTTAGCCTATTCACTTTGGACATTTGAGTCTGAAGAAATAGCCTCTGTTGAGATAATTTACAAAGAGGTTAAAAAAAAGGCAAATGAATCCCGTGGTGGTGTCAGTGATGACAGCGACGACAGCGATAGTGATGCCATAAGTAATCATGACTATACAAGGCGTGGTGTCTTAAGTAGAGCACCTCATTCTTCTGATACATCAAATGTATTTGTGCAGTACTCTACAAATAGTACACGTGATGACAGCAGCAGCCAGGCAAGTGGAAATCCAGACGCTGACCCAGAAGATTTTGAAGAGCATGAGATGGACATTGAAGAAGACAAAGACACACGTAGTGAGTTAATTAATCCTTTCTCTGAGATAAATTGTGACTATTCTTCTAGGCAAAGGAACAGTGCTTGCTTTACCATTAACTTAAAAACTGTACTGTTGGGCACCCTTGAAGAGAACGTGGATATTTCTGAAGCTCGTCTTTCTTCCCAAGAAGATGCAGTTGACTGGCAATGTACTCATGCTTTTGAAGCAAAACTACTGGACGACACAGAAAGTGTGCAGAAACCACGCTGTCGTAACGGCTCTCATGAATGGCAAAATTCCTCTCCTCCTTCTGATGAAAGTGACTTATCAGATTCAGATATGGACCAAAAGACTGAATACATAAGAAGATGAATAAGGGAGAACCACTATCATTTTGTAACATACAAATTGTTATTGCCCAACTTTTATTTCTAGACTCAACATACTGATCTTGTCTTTTTCTTTTTTTAACATTCTGTGAGTATATGCCTGAATGCTGAAAATACGCAATGCTCATTTTTAACAAATATTTCTCTGACCTCTCCAGGTTGCTCCAGGTATGGTTCAGGTTGGATTACCCACAGAGAAACAGAAATGACTATTCAGATGCAGCACAAAGAGTAGTTATTTCATTTTGCAGTTTGATACTGAATTGTACCTGTTAGCTGTTACAAAGTAAATATTTTCTATAACTCAAGTGAGAAGTTAGTTTGTAGTACCACAAGTTGTGAGTGGCTACTCTCAACCAGACCCCTTTTTTAATTTTCTTTTTCTATTCTTTAGCTCTGTTGATGGATTATTCTCAAACCTGTTTTGCTGGATGGATTGCTGTATTGAAGTCAGTGAACTGATTTCTACATTGATGCAGAGAAAGCTGATGAAGTGAAATAATCAAGGCAGAGATAAGAATACTAAGCTTACAAAAGAATTCTCCTTACTGTGAATCAAGGCATTAACTGCACTTTTTTATATTTTGTTAATATAATTTTGTGCAATTGTTGAATACTACACTTTTAAAAAATCTTTTTATGACATTTAAAAGTTAACTGCAGTGTACTGTTTAACATTTATGCTTGATAAAAATTTTTCATATCCTTGTCTGAATTTTCACTGTGGCTCCTACATGCCTTTTAAAAGGTACCTGAGTTAGCCTGCTAAGGATTTACTCCTTATGTGAAGGCTTTTAGGTATCACATAGCTGAAAAATCCGACTTTTTTCACCTTGTGTTGATCTGCTTAAGTACTACTTTTCTGCCCACAAGCAGTTTCTGGCTGCCATGGGTGGCAGTCATTCTTTTGGTCAGGATAGCTGAGAGTAATTTCTAAGGTTCTGGAATACATTCTGCTGCTGCGCTACCATAGAAGTAGGTGTAAGTAGCTGACAGCTTGGATCTTGACAAGCTAATTATTTGCAGATTTACACATCCATAGAATTAATGGATGAAACTTCCACTCATGCTGATCCTGTACAAACGGCAGTGTTACAGTACAGGGGGTGTGCACCTCTCCACAGTGGTAGAAGCCAGGGGAATCGCTGACGCGGACTGTGCCCGGCCAAACCTGCCTGCAGCCTTGTTTAATAACTGGAGGTGACAAATGCACCAGAATCAAATGCGTTAAACCCTCCCCAAAAGAACTGGTATTTTCAGTTGGCAACAGTCATAGCTTGAGAAAGAACCCTTTTTACTCTGTGAATAATAAAACCGCTCCCCCTTTTCCCCCAAGTTTATGCTGGTTTTGATCAGGGACACTGAACGTTCTGGTAAGTGGCATTGGCATCTTTGGTGGAGGCCAGATCCTGAAGTCAGAAGATAAACCTTTCCTCAGGTAACGTTCTTACTGCCTGCAGCGGGAATTTCACTCAAGATCAGGTTTGACACTATGTGCCTGTTTATGCGTTACTTATTTATCCACTTCATGCTGACCTCCCGTCTTCCCAGCTCCTGAGCTGTACGCTGAAGGTGCTCTTTAGAGATGATTAGTACCCAAGCAGCCAGGCATCACTAATATACTTTAAAACCAAGCACTGATGAACACCGTGGGGAGGGCTCAGGTGCTCAGGGTATGCCCTTTCTGGAAAGGGGAACACAGCCCTGGCGAACTGGGGGGGCTTTGGAAAGGTTGGGGTGAGCCGACCGGGCCC